TCCACTGGACACCATGAAACTCACAGTGGGAGTGGCCACAGCCTGCTAGCCAAAAAGTTAAAAACCTGAGGTACTCTTACTTGTGGTAAGTTCTACACACAGTGGCAGGTTTCACGTGACTCCAATGAGTCCTGACCTATGGCCAAAGGAGTACTTGTACTCAGTGGTACAAAGTATGTCACTGTGGTAATTTGGCTTCTTCTCTCATCCCAGCTGTAGGTAAAAGCTCTTGATGATTAGTTATAAAATATGCTTGACGATTGCCTGGGACTAAAAAAAAAAATCCTGAAATGATGCAACATCCACAGGCATTGATGCAAAGTGTCCATAAACTTCACATGGCTTTTAGTTCAGACTCTGCAGGGACATACTTTACTAAGTGGGCAAGGAAAGTAGGCAGTCAGGAGGTGATTATCATCTTTACATAAGCTGCCCGTCTGACTGCTTGGAGTAGGAGATCCAGCTGGGAACGTTCAAGCCACTGTCTGTGTTGAAGTTATGTCATCAATACTGTAGCTCTTGGCTGGAGTAATTTCAAATAATAAAAGTTTCTTTCGTTTGTAAAACTAGCTTTTGGATATATAGAAGGGTGTCTAGTGTCTCAGGGTTGATCTTTAAACAACATCTTTCACTCTAAAACAGTATTAAGGGCCAAATTCTCTGTGTGGCTTCAACCCAGACTCTAACATTACAGCTGCAAGTTCTGCACAGAGTAGCCTTCTAAATATACTGGTCTTGAAATGTACATAGTGTAATTCAAACGCAATCTGGGAAGGAATGGCAATGGATCAACATAGAGATAGAATGGTCATAAATAAGCCATAATTTGTTTCCTTTTCTAAAAACATCGGGAGTTTTCTGGGGACTTTTATTAGAAGGGTGCCTGGAAGAAAAGAAATGTATCAGGTGAAATTAAGGAGTATAATGAATCATAGAATCATAGAATGATGATTTATACCACTTCATAATTCAGAGTAAAATCTAAACCAACCAAAGAAGGCAACATTAGGTAAGTCTCAGAGTCTCATGGGAAAAACAGAGCTAGAGAAGAGTGAGCTCTTCCTGCTCTATAGGAGCAGTAGCATTCTAAAACCATCACTTCCCTGGGGCTATTGCACTAAGCTACCAGTACAGCTGCAGTGGATATAATCACTGTTCTAATTTTCTGGGAGTCAAAACAAGTGAATGTAATACTCTGGGACTTCCAATGCATGGTACATTGACTGTGGAAAGGTGAGATGCAGTTTCATAGAATCAAAGAATCATAGAATGGTTTGGGTTGCAAGGGACCTTTAAGATCATCTAGTTCCAACCCCCTGCTATAGGCAGGGACACCTCCCTCTAGACAGGTTGCTCAAAGCCTCATCTGGCTGCCTCCAGGGAAGGGGTATCTACAACCTCACTGGGCAACCTGTTCCAGTGTCTCTCCACCCCCACAGCAAAGAATTTATTTCTGAAATCTAGTCTAAATCAACTCACTTCCACTTTAAAGACATTTCACCTCATCCTGTTGCTACATGCCCTTATAAAAAGTTTCTCCCCAGCTTTCCTGTAGTCTAACTTCAGGTACTGGAAGGCTGCTATAATGTCTCCTCAGAGCTTTCTCTTCTCCAGGCTGAGAATTTTGTTACATAAGATGGGATTTAGTCTACCTAATTTAAGCCCTAGTAGGTAAACAAAGCAGTGCTAGGGCATAGGCATCCAACCATCCACACTACTTGTTTGTTGGCTTGTCTCTGTCATGTTTCTAAGCAGTGGCTGGTTGGTGATTTTCCAGGCACAGCTCAGGAGCTGGTGTGGGCACTGTACTGTGGGTGACAGTAGCCAGTCTGTTCTTTCAGTGAGGAAAAAGAAGGGTATGAGAGACTTTAATGGCACAGCTGTGGCTAATTTTGTGCAACTTGGCTATAAAAGCTGGAGAATAGGCCTGGGCTCTCCTCACTTTATTATCCTGGGTCTCATCTTAGCTGCCTGAACAAGCAAAAAGATTCTCACTCCCTCTGGAAGTGTTTAAAGTATCCAGCTCTCTCCATGCAGGGAATCTGTAGTATTCAGTTTGGAATTCAGTATTTCACTTGACACCCACTTGGATTAGGCAGAGAGGTCTGCACCTTGATTTACTACAGCTGAGGAACACCATATAGCATCTGCAATTCCCTACACCTCTCTACAAGTACAGTTCTGTTGATAACATCACTGTTCTTAATAGCAGTGATATTAATTAATGACTTATTAAGTATTGCCAGCAAAGAACATGTTCAGCACAATAATAAATCTTTTCTTTGAATTAATTATTACAATAAAACTGTTTTTTTTTCCTTAACTCGGAACAAATGACTTGAACAAACTGTATCATGCAGACTAACATTTAAATTGAATATGTAATTCTAGGGCAGAGGAAAACAGCACTGCTTACATTTAGGGAGCCATGACATTATCATTCCTGAAATCCTTAGGGTCAAACTCATTTCTAATATATTCTGCACTCTACTCTTGACTTTTCAAAAGATTGTATTATGATTGAAGAATTTCTGGTTTTAATGTAGAAGGAATAAATGCTAATGGCATTTCATTTTTTAATTCATCTGTGTGTTCTACCACCATCATGAACTTCTCTTGATATCAGACGTATCCCCAAACTTGTTTCAGATTTAATCCTGCTTGTAGCCATGAGTATCACTTTTGACAGGTTTGTGGCCTCCATTTTTTTGTCAGAAACAGCTGAGTTCAATTGGCTTAGGAAACTTCTTCCAGCAGCAGCAGTCCTCTTGGTTACACCAATAAACTGGGAAATGCTGCTCTCCATATCTAAACCACTGTCTCTCCCATCTATACAGGAGTCTTTCACTGATTTTCCTGGAATCTGGGCACCCTGAATGAAATACCCAGAAGATATTGTTTAGTGCTGGCCTTGTCACCTAGACATTGTCATTAAAGAATGATGTTGTGAATCCCTGCTTTTAATGCAATAAATATTTCACATCTTGCAGCAAAAGATTTCTACATAGCCTTTCTATTAACCAGTTCTCCTAGAAACGTGCACTGAGTTGGGAAGTTTCAGGTTAGATATTAAGAAGAATTTCTTCTCAGAAAGATCGGTTAGGCTTGGCATTGGCATAGGCTACCCAGGGAAGTGGTGGAGTCACTGTCCCTGGAGGCATTTAAGGAAAGGGTAGATGTAGTACTTAGGGATATGGTTTAGTGGCTGATATCGGTGGTGGGTGGATGGTTGGATTAGATGATCTTAGTGATCTTTTCAAACTTACTGATTTTACTATTCTTTGAATTCAGCCACAGAAATCACTCAAGCCTTATGAATACAACACAAAAGGCAAGGAAAACGAAAACAAACGGTTTCTCTTTTCGTATAAGGTTACCATGGGAGCATGAAAGATGCGAAGACAGTACTGAAAATCTATTAGCTAGCTGATATTTTGTATTCCTTTATCCCACCCCTACAAGCGCTGCCCTTATACCCGCTGGAATGCAGCAGGCAGCTCTAGCAAGCTGTCTGCTTTAAGGTTCAGAGAAGACAAAAAGAGCTTTGCAGACAGGGCTAGTCCTCCTCCTGCTGCCCAGATCTGCAGCTCTGATGAGCTGGGAGAGAGCAAGAGGAAGTACTTCAGAACAGGGTATAAGGCCAAGAAAGAAAGTTGGCATGTTGTAACCGAGGAACAAGAATAATACTGGATCTTATTTAGTAATTTTTATAATAAAGGTACACTAAAGCGTTTTTTCTATAAATGGGTATTACTTATTTTCATTGAATTTTGTGTCCAGAAATGTTGTACCTTTATCACCACAATCCATATAGATTATTTTAAAGTAAAACACAGAGGAACTCCAGAGATTTGCTGAGACATATCAAATGTGCATGGAATTATCCTTTCCAAGGAATGAAAGATTCCTCCCAACAGGTGCTGCAGTGACTAACTGAAATTCTTGCTATATACAGCTTAATAAATAAATCTAAAAACAAATAAAAGGAAAGAGTCTGTTGTATTCCAGTACCTTGAAGTCTGAAGCAAAGGCTTAGTGGTAAAATTCAGTTCAGGGTAATTCAGTACAGTGCACTAATTATTAGGAATCATAGCCAATTCATCTTTTGCCGATAATATTCACTAGTTACTACCCAGAACTGCATTCAGCTAAGTCTAACAGCCTGAATGGACATTTTCTGTTTTTTATTAGCTTTTCAATGATTTCTTCACTTACTTGCAATCTCTGTAGTCTCATAAATCTGACATTCTTTTCTCCATTGATGCTAAGCTTCAACATCAGCTGTACCTACTCATTCTCAAGAACTTTGGGAAATAGGGATTTGAAACTTAACAGGCTGAAAGGACCCAAATGAAGCCTCATGTGTTGTGAATTACTCATAACAGATGAAATGTGGATAACACCCACCCTTCATTATTTTAAATGAAAAACAGTACATTCTTTTTTTTTTATCTAGAGGGATGTTGTTGGAAGAATAGGACAGTAGAGTGTGAATTCTAGATTAATAATCTTTAAGTCAGGCAGGCACAAATTAAGGTGCAGAAAATGCAATTCACCTTGTCATTAGATGTCTCCAAATTTGGTAGCTGTCCAAAAGCTAGGCTTCTTTCCACTGACTATAAATTGAGTCATGATGAGCAGCTAAGATGTAGATGTCTAGAAAAACTCTTGCCTGCATTTCTTTTCCATATTTTCTGCTTTCTGCGCAGCCATTAAAAGAATCTGGGAATCCTATTCTGAGGCCCAAATCTCTGCCTAATCCATGGTCACAAATTCCATTCTACTATGTAGCTGCCATGTAGATGAACCTGAAAATACTGCACATCTCTGCTACAAACCCTGTTGTGAATCCAGAAGCTCAGGTTACTTGTAATTTTTTCCCTCGTGGCTCATGTTCCCACAGCTATCACTCCTTCAGTTAAGGCTCTGAGATACCTCTCATGGAGTATCTAATATGTCCAAATACATGAGAAAAGAGAAGAAAAACTCTTTTGGGGCTATTTATTTAGTAAAGATTAGAATATGGTGAGTCCAAAACAAATCAAACAAAGAGGAAATAAATATATGTGACAGATATTTGCCATGTTACTGTATATGAAACACGTAATATGAAGTTATTAGATGTATCAGTGATACAGACAGACTGATTCTAGTTAATATATGCAAAGAAGTGTTGGGTATTCATTCTATTTCTGGAATATTATACTGTCAACAATTCCCAGCATCCTTAGCAGACCTTGAGACAGCCCTGGGAGGAGGAAGCAGGTAGGCAAGTAATACAAGTTGCTCTTTCTTTAGCGTACAACCAGAGCCTTTAATTCACTCCAGAAAACATCAAATTCCAAATGTTGACCATGATCAGGAGTGGACATTTTCTGTGTCCATACACAAAACAGAAGATAGTTGGAAGCTGGAAGATAAACAGAAATCATTAACCTATTCTACATCTGGGGAAGATTAAAAGAGAACGTGCTGAAATGTCTTTTTATTTCCTCCTAAGGAAACACACCCCATCACTCATAAAAACCTATTAATTGGCTGCAGGTTGACTAAAAGTCATGTCAGTTACAGTAATAGTGGCAGCTATGAATAGTTTTGGTGCTCAAGCAGTTGTAACCAAGTTCCAAAGTTAACAACCCACAACAAAAAGAAAAAAAAATAAGAGTTCTCACCTCTATAAGGTTTCTCATTTGAGTTTGGCTACTGAGAAGTTAAGCTGTGAAATAACAGTTTGTGCCATGAAAAATTTCTCTGCAGTAACAGTGTAGGACCAGAACATCAGCTTTGCCTTATAATCCCCTGACACGAAGCACAAACCCTCCCATGGCCCAGCTGCTCAGGCTGTCTCACAGGGCAGATCAAGAAGGAACCTTGTCAGCTATTATTGATCATTAATTTATTACCATATTTTATTGTAGCACTCCTGCTCCGTGACAGATAAGCAGAGTCAAGAAATTTATAGGTCTTTTGAACTTACAGGCTAAAGCAGCAGTGGCTATTAAATAGTGTACTGTTATAAAAGAAGCTGAGGCCCCATAAAAGAAGGAAAATGGGATGAAAGGTGTCTCCACAGATCTTCATCTCATCTCCCACAGACTTATACTAGTCCACTAATTTCTGATTAATAACTCATTAGGGATGGAGTGAACTTCTAGAAGGAGAGTAAAACCTGTTCTAAAGTGGCATGACTTGCCAAAACCAGCAAACATAATTTCCTTCTTCTATGAGCAGGTAAACAAACATTTGGTGACGAACCAGTATGGACTGACCTTAACCACCTTTATGCTGACAACCCTCTGTTTTCTGAGATAAAATTGGAGAAAACTTGAAATTTCTGTTGTAAATTATCAGTCTTCCAAGAACTTTTCTGGACCCCTTTAAATAAAACACATCATTTTCCTTTGCACAGAGAAGCCTGGCTGGGCAAGAAAATTTAAATAACTCAGTACAAGTACATTTTGTGTCACTTAGAAAAGTGACAAGCACTTTTTAAGGATACCCAGTACATTACATTCCATCAGCTGCAAAGGAGACACTGGCAAAACAACAATTTATTTCACTTATTTTCCTTACACATATGCACATTTTAAACATCCAGAACTATTCTGGATAAAGAATAACCACTTTTTATTACATTTGAAATAAGTTTTGAATGGCTTCATTTGAAGATCTTGCTCTTGCATAGGACAAGAGAGCAGAATCAGCTGAAATTTCACACTGCATGATTTCCCTAAATCTGCTCAATACATTAGAAGTAAATCTGGTAATTAGGTGCTCTCTTTCTGCAAAGTACCTTTCTGTTTCTGCAGAAAGTCTATATCACTTCTTTCTGATTCAGTTCTGGAGCTAGAGGAATTTTCTTGCCCATTTCCCATTCAAAAACATTCATTCTTCCAAACATGATCTCAGTAACAAATGTTATTGTGGGAGAACAAATTGCACATTGCAAAACTGCAGGCCTGAATTCAGCATCTAGGTAAAGCAGCAATTGTAATGTGTTCAGAGATGATCTTGCTTTGCATTCTCTTTTGTAGTTTTTTTTTCTCCAGTCTTACAAGAGCAGGAGGTCAGCATCCCCAGAAAGCCCAAGTGTTTTTTCTCCTCATTCTCTGTTCAGTGTAGTGAGGACTAGCAAAGATACAGCCTTCCCACAGAAGTTTCTACCCAAACATTTTATATTTCAGTCCTGCTGTTCATGTCTTTATGTGTTCATGATTAAATGAAACCACTCTTCATCTTCCTTGATGGTGTCCTAGCTCTGTGCTGCTCACATCATTGTGCCATATGTGCAGTATGGATGTGTTGTTGCTAGTGTAGCTGTTAAACCCCATATGCTTCAGTCTGTGGGAAAGAAAATATTACATATGCAATCAACAGGCCATTTCTCATGTAAGTTTGTTTTAATGCATTAAAACCAGTTAGATTTAGATCAGTTAGATTTAATATGCATAATTCTTGACTTATTCCTGCTAACCCTGCACATGCTTAAAAAAAGAATTTGACCCTAAAATTCAGGTATACCACGTGCTACTGTGATATCAAAATTCCATGTAAACCAGTACACCAGAAGAAAAGAGGAGAACGTGGACTCTACAATTAGTGTATATCATCTGATATTTTTAAGCCTTTTATCCACGTATTTCCTCCTTCTGAAGATTCATAGAATCATAGAACTATAGAATGGTTTGGGTTGGAAGAGATTTTTAAGATCACCTACTTCCAGTGTCTCACTACCCTCACAGCAAAGATTTCTTCCTAATATCTAAATCTGTCCTCTTCCAGTTTAAAACCGTTTCCCCTCATCCTGTCACTACATGCCCTTGCAAAGTTCCTCCCCAGCTTTCTTGTAGTCTCTCTTCAGGTTATTTTCCTATTGTATATTGTGCAATTTGTGCAGCCAAGTATTACGTGACATAACTTAATTCTGCGTTTCCTTACCTCTGGGATGATGTTTAAGGCTAATTCCTCTTGTTCCAGAATCAAGCACCATGTAATGAAGTGATAACCTACCACTTGCTTTGTGAAAAGAATACAAGTAATGAGACAACATTACAGTAGGGAACTGGTTGACACACACAATAAGTAAACTATACTCTGTTCCAGACAGTTAACGATAAATGAAAATTAACCCTTGATTATTGCTGGTTTCCTTGATAAAATTTGAAGAAGTGATGCCCTTAGGTTCAGGACTCCTAATTATCTTTTGTTGTGTGACCTTACCTGCAGGCAGATATTACCTGAGTGAATTTGTAAAGTCTAATTTCCCAACAAACACTATGGTAAGACAAAGGCTGTTTTGTTGGTTTAACCTCAGAACTTGATTTTTAGTTACTGGGTTAGGTGTAATAGGGAGGGAAGAGAGCTCTACTTTTCAGATCATTGAAAATGTAGTAAATATATTTTTGTAATTTTTTGCTTTTATTTCCAGTGATCCAAAAAAATCAACTAATGATGCAGAACATTCTGGGGTTCTTGGGTATTTAGCAAGCTGCAGGACTAGTGAATCATCACAGCAAAAGCACTACATTGTCAGAAAGCAGGTCCACTCAAGCTGATTGACTCTGAGGTCATAGTGGTGCAGTTAATGAAGGGTCTGAATTCGTTGGATGATGGAGCCAGATGGAGACCACGTGAGGCTGTCTTGGCAGGGGCTGTGGCCCAGATTCTGAAATCTGCTTGCATATTAGATAATTCCCCATTGCCAGAGAAAAAAAATTAAATCTTCACTTAAAATATGCCTATCTATCCACTAAATTTACCAGACTCCTTGATTCTCAAACAGAACTCTCTTTAATCTGGCCCCTAGGGTAGAAGACCTCCTTGCTATAGCAGGAACACTGAGGGAAAGACCAAGCAAGAACATGCACACATGCATGCACACACTCTCTGAAAAGTACACTGACAGAAGACAGAATTTCAAGCTGTATGGTAATACATCGCATTGAAATGCACTCCTAATACATTATTTGTTGTGTGACTGAGTAGAAACAGCATATGCAAATTGATTCTAAGCATGCAATGTAATTCCCATGTAGATGAGCTGTGCAAATGGGAATTCAAGTTTGTTATGAGCACTGACTGAGACACGATCTTTGGTTGTTTCATTTTTTTCTATGTCTGAGTCATCAGTCTCACTGCCTGATAATGAATTTGAATGCAAGTCTGTATAACACTTTCTCATTCTCAATCAGACAACATACTGTCATCATGTCATTTCCAGGGAAATACTGTTCGAATCACATCTCACAGTAATGAAGAGAGAGATTGCTTTTTTTGGAAGGGGAGGGAATATTTGTCACCTTAATAACATAAAAATGGATACTTCCGAGAACTGTCTGCACCACAGTTTCATTGAGCTTGGGAGCACTGTGCCATTTTCCTAGCAACTTTTAAGGGCTCATGCCAGGGGTCATAAAAAGAATGAATGAAATGACTCTGTATTGTATGTGGTTATGAAGAACAAAGTGAAGGTGAATCACCCATTTGCAGGACCCATTGCTGTCACTGTGATTTTCAGTATGCTCCTCTAGAAAAATTATGACAATTTAGGGTGGACTTTTCCTCCTCTCTTCTTGTTATACAATTTTTCCCTCAAAAATTCTTTCAAATGCCCTTGCAAAGAAAGCTATGAGCATAAAGGCAATGTATGGCCAGTCAGCTGGGGGGGATGTCTGGTATATTTGCTAATAAAAGAAGACTGTGCAGCAGGGCTGACAGACCTCTGGACACACTGCCTTTCCCTGGAATAAACCTGAATCTGATGTTAGGAGAAAAAAGTGATCAAGTAACTGTTCTAATAAATATATCCAAAACTAGGTCCTAGGTCTAAGAAGCAAAGGGAGAACAATAAAAACAGTTTGGATTGAAGCTGGTGACTGAATAGCAGCTATTGTTCCCCAAGATGTGAGCTCCAGGAAGAAATTTTCCTTGAGAGCAGCTAAACTCATGACTATACCCACACACTGTAATCTGGTCAGCAGCACAGTTCCCAACATTTCTGAAGGGATGTGAAGAAGAAACACTGACACCTTCAAAGGGAAGAGCCTGCTGGCTGCAGAGCACATCCAGCAGCACCAGGGGTACCCCTTCCCAACTTCAGTCACTGACACAAAGCTGGCAGACATAATTCCTGCAGCTACCTTCACAGCAGTGAAGCCTCTTCTGTCTGCCTGGCACACAGCAGTGAATGATGCTGTCCAGTGGAATACAGTCCACCTTTGAGCTAACGGATTGGGAAGGTCCACAAAGGGTATCACAGAATCATAGGGATTGGGTGGGATCTCTGGAGATCATCAAGTCCAGTCCCCTAGCTTAAGCAGGTTCCCTGCAATAGGTTACACAGGAAAGCACCCAGTTGGGTGTTGAATATCTCCAGAGAGGTAGACTATGCAAGCGCTCTGGGCAGCCTGTTCCAATGCTCTGTCACCCTCTAATGCCTTCTTCTGAGCTCAGAACCCTCAACTCAGTTCAGAAGGTGACAACCGCAGTGATGTCCTGGAATCCCATTCAGTATCATGCATCTGGAGCTCTCAGGCAGTGAGAGGTGCAGACCTCAGCCATTCTCAGCCAAAGGCCAAGATGCCTTTACTGGCTCCTTAGAACATTGCTGAACCAGGTAAGGATACTCTGCACTCCTCCTGAAAAGGCTGCACAAATACTGAAACTTAGTGTTTGCAACTCTTAATCAGACTACAAGAAAGCCTAGCTAGTAGTGCCTATTTGTGAATTATTTCTGTAACATCACATCAGTGGATAAGTCAGGGACAAGACTAGGACCCAGCCCTCTTTTTTCAGTGCCCTAAGTCCCAGCACAGATGATTAAATACCCTCTTAATTTTTTATCCATACAGCTTATGCATTTTTTTATTACAGGCCACGAACAGGATACAGGATGGGAGAGATTCCTTGAGGAAGGGGCAGAATGGACAGACAGATGGTTGGGAAATGAAGCAGATCAGAGAAAGAACAGAGGCAGAAGCAAAGCAAAGAGGAGGAAAAGAGGAAGACTACTGATGAGGCCATGTTTGTCCACGAGTTGGGTGTAGGTTTCAGGTCGCATGCAAAAAGCATCAACTCTGAAGGGCAGAAGGTGATGGTAAAGGGAAGTCAGGAATGCGGAGAACTATCATAGGAGTTAGGAGCCCACAGCTCAATAAACAGAATCGAAAGAGAATGTATAGAGGTAATGGGGGTGGTAGAGAAGTAACACACCCTTATTTCACAAACTTCATCATTAACATCTGATTCCTCTGCTTTTGCTAACGAATTGTGGAGACACCGGCAGAAGCGCATGTCGGCATCGCCCTCTAGTGCCAGGTCCTCTCGGGAGACGCGTGACTCCTGCGAGTCCTTTGGCCGTGCGAGGTAGGAGGTCTGAAAAGTCGAGGCTGTTGACAGCCTGCATGAGGGAATCAAGAGGAGGAAATGCAGGGATCTTTTTTTCCCCGTCACTGAAAATAAACACAATAAATTACATCAAAAAAGACTAAAGTAAATTTAATTGAGAGCAAAGTGTCATGTAATTGAGTACTTAGGAAAATGTCAACAGGTAATTGTTATTCACTATTATCTACCATTTGTACTTGGAAATATTCGTGTTAATTTAGTATTTTCTGCATAAGCACTGAACAAGATGCAAATGAAACAGGAGCTTTAATTAAAAAATAAATAGATGATAATAAAAATCAACTTTTTTACTTTGTTTATTCAATTATTTATGTTGGATGTTCAAGATTTTTCTCCTTCAGGGCTGAAAGGCCAGCTGAGAAAACAGAAGCATGGAAACTGGGCAGTGGAAGGAAGAGATTTATGGACTGTTTAAAACTCCTTTGACCTTCATTTTGACCATGATGTTTGGTTGATTTTTAATTTGGATTTAGTTTTACTTGTACAAATGTGGTGCTAATTTGCAGAATACTGCGCAGCCATGTAAAATACAGAAATATTTTCAAAACTAATGTTCATACATTTCAGATAGTGATACAGAAACTTTGGGGAAGGTCCTTTCTACATGGCATACAATTCAACAGGTGTAAATTCCTGGTATTACACCTATTGCTGAGATTTGTGCTAGTCTAATACAGTTAGACCTTTACTAAATCACAGCAATCATCAAAAAGCCTCGAAAAATTGTAGTACAACTTGTTCCTTGAAACTGCCTGCTCTCATCCATCTGTCTTACCATGATTGCTTAATGCATTGTGGAGCTCCCCAACTTCAGCAGTTTGCAGGTTCACAGCACCTGCTGAAACTCAGACCCAGTAGTCCTTGGCCTCTTAAGGAAATTAAAGAACAGATCCTGCTCTTTGGAACCATTTGAGATTCAAAAGGTGGTTCAGAACTGTGCGTAAGCTTGCAATTTTGGCCTATGGCATCAAAGAGACTCATCTGGAAACCAAGAAGCCTATGCATCTATGCTGCAGGATTGGAGCTGATCTCCATTGAAGGCTGGATCAAATAGCTATGGGTCATATCTGGGCTCTAAGTTTCCACTCTAACATTGCCAATTAAATAGACTCTATTAATTCCTGCTCTCTATTACCTTGCCTGGGGTGCAGATATTACTCATGACAAAAAGACAAACAGAAAAGCAACCAGGTTGAAAGCCACTATCCTTTCCTTCTTTTAACATCACAAAACAGAATACTTTAGATTGATGACACCACTAATAATGACTTAGTGCTCCTTTTGCCTAAGAGTTGCAATGGTGGAATTTTTGCAATTGTTAAAGAATCCTCCAAACTTCAATTACACTATGAAAAAAAAAAAAAAAAAAAAAAAAAAATTAAAAAATTTTAGAGATCTGTCTCTGAAATAAAAGGATAGACAGGACTTAAAAGTCAGAATGGCTGATGCACTCTGAAAAATGTGCATGGCCCCCACGTGTGTTTTATAAAACTATGCTTAGCACTTTATAGAGCTTGAACTGGCCAAGCACACTTTATTAAGTATGTAGAAACAGCTGTTCACAATTAAGGCCTTTATTCCTCAAATACCTACTACTGGGCACAGAAATGACTGCTATATGTAATCCAAGACAGTGATCTATATCTCCATACTGACATACTCAACAGTATCCTTGAACTTCTTCTCTTTATAATAATGTTAGTTTTCCTGCATCGTAAAAATGGAAACTCGGAGCCTAATTTTCCTTTCACTCACATCAACATGAATCAAGGCAATGGAGCCGCGCTGATGAAAGCAGATGCAAAATGGAATGATACTCAAATCCCTAGAGCCCATTTTAACTTTTGCAAGCCATGTATCTAAAAACAAAAACAAACACCTGCCAAGCTGCTACCCGTAAAAAGGTCATTCTTGCAGAGAGCAGCAGAACTTTGTGACAGATATCCTTTCCACAAGAAGAAGGAATTGTTTGTCACCACTATTACGCATAAACTATGGAAACAGACAGCAACAGCTTGATCAGAAAGCTGCTTTCCTCGATTCTGCATACACCTTTTCCCTTGGCATTATTAAAATATGCAGGAATGGAATATTCTGTTACTTCTGCAGAACAAGATACGCAAAGGAAATGGTTTGGCAAGCTTGTTTCCAAGTGTAAAGGGCTTTTTAGTTCCCAGTAGCCCTGCCAACAAAATTAAAGCTCTTCAAACAGCACTCAAGTTGGTCTTTCCTTAGGATGCATTTAAATGTTCCAAAGCCCACTAAGGTACTTCCTTTCTTTCAAATTCTTTGTGTCCAAATGTCACTTACTAAGGATGAACGTGTTCCAGCAGATCCTTAATACAAAGCTCAGGAAACTAACTCCTCATCACGCCTTGAGAGACACAGACATTTGAGGTCTGATATAGCAAGGTATTTAAACAGGTGTCCAGTTCAAGCTAACACTTGGTTCCAGTGAAAGCAAAAACAGTGAAAACCTGAATCCATAGTTTACAGAGGACAAGTGCTAGCGTCCCTATTATTAAGCAAAAGTTCAGTCACATATCTGCTTGTCAAACATGTCAAGCCCAGAGACAGCATGAATGGTGCTGGAAAAGCAGGTTTTGTGGCATACCTCTCTTTTTGTGATGTGCCATAGTCCCTGTATGTATGTGGCTGGCTCCCATTTGGAACTTAATCCTACAAGGACCTGACAAACACCACAAACATATCCCAGCAGAAAACTGGTTCCCAAGCAGAATTCACTGTGAGCTGTGTTTGCTTTGGGCTTCTATAATGGCATGTGACTCATACAGAAAAGTTGCCAGGTGAAAGCACTGTGAATTACTTTTTGCAGCCTGAGCCCTCCATTGTAAATAATGATTGTGCTTTTGAAAAGATACTGATCCAGTTGTGTAAAAATGTAGACCAGGTAGGATGTGCTGTGATCATTTACTACCAACTATACCACTACTTCTTGTATGTAAATTTGTGGTGATAGTGTAAGAGGTAGTATAATGTTAGCCCCACACTAAGCAGTAGTGATGCATGTGCTGAACACAAAGATCGACTCCATCAGTGTTTACCCAATTCACGGGATTTGGCTATGGTAATTAAATAACTAGATGCTTCTTTGTGTTTTCCATATTAATTTCCTATATTTATGAAACTGTGTTCTATGATGGTCAACTAATACCTCTTTGTTTGCTTCATTGGGCTGAAGCCACGTGAGAACTGGTGTTTCTTTGAGAGCTAGGAGGAAATTGAAGATTAGCTTGAAAGATCTTGGAAAAGCAACACAAATCTTCATTAGAGCAGTAATGAGCATTAATGCACTGTAACTAAAATGGTCTGTTACCCCTTCTTGTTAGAAGCAAGATGATAGATGGAGACCATTTCCTCTTTTTGATTACCGTTGCAATTCTAATGAGTTTAGTGAATAAATATATGATGGAACTTACGATGGAAGAAAACAAGAGCATAAGGCAGAGATTTGATCATATAACTACCTTTCTCCCCATAGAGAGAAAGCCATTTAATTTTAATGGCAAAGGGCATGGATGTTACAACATAAAAAAAATGTTCATGTCTTCCTATGGATTTTGGGGGGAGGATTTTTGCCGTTTTCTCTCTGAGTTCATGAGACCTGTTCTAGATGATGGACCTAACAGAAATAACCCTCATTTCCATCTCTTTACTCTTTCTTGTACTTTCTTCTTTTCTAACTGTCCTCCTGAGTTTACTTCTGTTTTTCCAGTTTCATATTGTGAAGTTCTCAGTGTCTCAGACACAGTACTGTGTTCTACTGGTGTGTGGTGCTTAAAGGAGCTTTAAAAGCCATGGGGTTTAAAACCTGAAAATGGTCTTCAAATTATTGTTCCTTTGTAAAAACATTTAAATGACAAGATAAAGAAAAATGCTATACATGGATATATAAACACAGAGATATTATCAAGCCAAAATCTAACTTTAGATTGTGTGCCTGTCAGTCACTAAGGATGAAAAGCACTCATCATATGTTGCAATTATCCCACTATTGCGTAGTCAGAAAGTCAGCAAGTCATAAATGATGTTCTCCTGGAAAACATATCCAGGCTTTAAGGCATGGAAATATTTAGTATAGGCTCTAAACAATAGCTCCACTATCTAGTTGCACCCTGTAATAAACAAACAAATAATAATGAACAAAGACTTTTAATATCTATAGTCCTTCATTAAATCATTTTAAAGGTTGACAAAAATGTTTTTCTTCTTTGGTATAATTTCTATATGCTAATACCATGTAAAACACATAATCTATGTTACTTTCTTTTAAAGAGAGAAGATAAAATGGAAACATTTGTTGTCTCATTTACATTTATTTCTAAATAGTTTCTAAATTATCTTCAATAATATGAGATCTAAAGAGTGTACCTCACGGTTACGTCAAAGCATTGTGTTTGCATTCTTATATGAATAGGGGGAAAGTCTGTGTTTCCTACCATATATGTAAAAGCACACAACCTGGATATACACACCATTTCTTTCCAGTATTACCTAGCCTTCTCCAACCATAGTCAGACATGAATTCTGTCTCAGAGATGATGTGCGATAGAGGGAAAGAACAAAATTTGTTGCACTGCATATGTTAGGAATTTCCTAACTCCCACTTTCCTCTATAAACTTGCATGTTCTGTTTTGCTGATGTTCAGAAACATGCTCACTTGATTCCAGCTTTATCTAATGGCCAAAGACATTCTCCAACTTCATATTTGCCATTACCATAGCAGGGTAGCCAAGGGTAGCAACACCTTTAATGGAAATAATCCCTTATTCTTCCAGTCAACAATATTCATAGACTCATAGAATCACAGAATGGCCTGGGTTGAAAGTGACCATAATGATCAATCAGTTTCAACCCCCCTGCTATGTGCAGGGTTGCCAACCACCAGACCAGGCTGCCCAGAGCCACATCCAGCCTGGCCTTGGATGCCTGCAGGGATGGGGCATCCACAGCCTCCTTGGGCAATCTGTTCCTGTGCGTCATCACCCTCTGTGAAAAACTTCCTCCTAATATCTAACCTAA